GTTTTCTTGTTCGGAATGCGCGGCAAATTTCACCACATCAGGTAATCTGCGTAGACATATAATGATTCATACCGATAAGAGGCCGTTCTCTTGCCAGAATTGCGCGGCAAATTTCACCACATCAGGGAATCTGCGTAGATATACAATGATTCATACCGGTAAAAGACCGTTCTCCTGTTCGGAATTCACAATGAATTTCACCAGTGCAAACTATCTGAATGAACATACAATGATTCATACCCGCAAGGGGCAGCTTTCCTGTCTGAATTGCGCGGCAAAATTTACCACATCAGGGAGCCTGCGTAGGCATACAATGATTCATACCGATAAGAGACCGTTCTCCTGTTCAGAATGCACGATGAATTTCACCCATGCAGATTATCTGAACGAGCACATAAGGATTCACAGCGGTAGGAGGCCGTTTTCTTGTCCGAAATGCACAGCAAATTTCACATTGTCAAGGAAACTGCGTAGACATATGAAGATTCATGGCAATGACAGATTCAACTGCACTGTGTGAGGTAAAGCTTTCTTGTCGAAATCTTATTTGGAAAAACACATGAAGGATTGCGTATAGTATGAGTTGATAGATGTATTTTAAACAAAAATACGTACTGTTATTTCTGGTATTGTTTCATTTCTTTAAGATAAATTCATTTCTTCCATATTGTATTGTCAGCATTCTATTATTTTATATGTGTATCAGTATTGTTCCTCTAAGATTTCTTTATTATCTCTCTTATCTCAGTGAATGAAATTCCCCATTTCGTGTCTACTTGCATCTTACTAAACAGCTTCAAACAGGTGACTTGCATTCCATGCATGAAGAACCTGCAATCAAGTGTCACTGTTAAAAAATTACTGATGAAATGATATTGTCTCATATGAATTTCTCATTCGATTATTGCGTAAACAACATAGAAGTAAATTTTTGGCAACGAAAAAGCTTTTCTTAATCACGCCACTTGAAATCGCTTATAATTTCATAGGGTTACCTATCCATCTCGTTTGTCAATTCGTATGCAGATTTCCACTGGTGATGTCAAGCATTTCTATTATGCCATTTGCAAGTGGTGTTTCACTCGATCAAAGTACTTGATAATCCATTCCAATTAACTTATATCAGTAAGTGCTGAACAGTTGATTGGTGTTCAATAAAAATTTCAAATCGGTATAGGATTGGAAAAAAAAGCTTTGGCATAAAAAATTAAGTATGTCTAACTACTTTTGATCAAGTGAGGGAAAAAATTTCTGAAATGTGAGAGTTAGGAATGAATTTAGCCATAAAGGACACTCCTCCGTCCTGTTTGATTCTTTTTCGCATAAATAAATGAATACATTTCCCAAGTGAAATTTATAAAGAATGGTAAAAGAGAATGGAAATCAACAATTCTAAATATTACAATATACCGCTAAATGATTTAAAACTCTGGAATAAAAATTGGAAATTTTAAAAATGAAACAAAATAAAAATTATATCAGTGCGACCTTAAATATGCAAAGGAAAAAGAATTTAATATGTCAAGAGTATCTCATTGATTTTCATTTCATAACATTAAACTGGTATCCTCGGTGTAGGGCACAACTTGTTTGCCAATATCGTCTTTGTAACACTTTCCTTAAGGTCAGTTTATATTTCGAGTAAAGCCATTCTAATAAAAAAATAAAGATTTTATGATTTTTAATTAGGTGTCATTTGAAGGTGTCACAACCAATTGTAACTTAAAGTCTTCAGTTTTTCCTGTAATCTTCCAAATCAATCTTTTTCCCTATTCGTACCACTGATTTTTCTTATTGCTCACACTTTTACTCACACGGTTCATTCTTTCATTACTTTCATTTATCGGTGACTTCGACTACTGTCAATGCTAATCATATTTCATTATCGATTTTTTTCATGTTTTAGTGTTGCAAATTTTTGATTTTATCATGTTTAAAAATTGAACATAATGGAAATTATCGATTGATAGCATAATTCATTTGACAACTACCTTCATCATATTACATGTTATATGTGAAAATAATAAAACAAAACTATAATATGCCTAATTTAACCACAAACACGAACACAAATGTACGAATGCAAAAAAAATTTCTTTTGCTTTAATTAAGCGAATTAATAGTTAATAATGATTGAAGGGCATAAATACAGAGGAAAGCAAAAAAAAAATAAAAATAAAAAAACGAATTCGAAAAAATTTCTTACCAGCGATTAGTACCTGATTAAGTTTTAATATTTTGGATAGAAATTTTAGCAAAAATTGAGAATAAGATGAATTATTGTCAGATACATGCAAATACAGGTAGTTAAAGAAATCAAGAAAGGTAAGTAACAAGTAGTTGTTTGTGTTTGTAATCTGTGATATCATCTTGATATTTGGTGACATATTGTCAATTATTTGACTAAAAGAATACTAGTTACGACGCTGTTCTTAATGTTAAATATATGGTTTCATCATCCATGTCACTACCAATATTTAGCAATAGGCTTATTATAATGAAAGATTTTTGCAAACTGTGAAAAAAATGAGCCTTAACTCTTTTTTTATTTTTCATTTTTAAAATTGCATTATAAGCAAAAACGTTGCAAGAGATTAGCATAAATTAATTATTTTTTACAATGCAATATGGCAACAGAAATGAAATTATTCAATATAGGATTAAACAATGATTGCTATTGTTACATTACTGTACGTGAACAAAGGCTATCGATACACATAGCTACCCACTCCCAACAAAATTAATATTTATGCATGCGATCTTCGACCAATACCTAACAGAAATGATTGGGTGGTATATGGTAAAATTTTATTCTAGCTAACAAAAGATGATTTACATTTCGAACATTTCTCGGCAAACATGAAGTCATCATATTGGAAGTATAGAATACATTTTTAAAAAAGTAAAAAATTGACATTTTTTAATTACATATCTCGCTGTACTTTGGTAAGAATGCTAATTACCATAAAACAGTCATTACTAAATAAATGATAGCAATGTGTTTCACTAAGAATGCAATCTTCTTTACTATCTCGATGGCATACTGTTTGTGGTGTCATACTCATCGGTTTCTCTAAAATAAATTAGAAATGACAGAGTAATATTATCAAGTTCTATTATTACTGAATGATCTGTAATGTAATATGAACATATTACGTTACAGTAAATTGGAAATCAAAACATAGCAACTGGATACCAGTTGGAATTTTCCTATTCGGTTTTTCGATGTTAATTTACGACAGTTGATATTACATGTTTCTATAATGATTGACGTATTTAATGACGAAAATGTGCAATAGTTCAATTATTGTCAAAGAATGAGTAAATCCTTGGATTTTGCAATTTATC